GCGGTTTATAGCAACAGCCCCCTGAAGTTCCAATGAGCTGTGATGCCCCAGCCTTGCACGTTTGCACAGACACAACCTACTCTTTTAGCAAACGTACTTTGTTCTTCCGTTCACAAACTTCTGACCAGTCTACTTGGACTATCACCTTACCATCTCTAGGTGGCAAACCAGTGGAAACACTCATGAACCAAATATCAATTCCCAAATCATAATTCGCACTTTTTTTTTTTTTTTAGACAGTGGAAAGAAAGGATTTCAGACTTTCTCATGAGCTGTGGGGTTTTTTTTTAATGTCTTACAGCTTTTTGGTAAGATTTTTGTTTCCCTTTTTTTCCACGCGTTTTGCTCTAGGCATTAGAGAAAAAGGCTCTTGGCCATTTTCTAAAACCCCAGAAAAGGAAGCAAGGTAGATTTTATTCTTTCTGTTCTTTGTTTCATTCTTTCTTTGAATTGCTTTCTCCACCTTCACATTTTTGTCTCCCTCTCCAGTGATCCCTGAGGTAAGACTTATGTTTACTACTGATGTTTTATGATTAAGACACTGAACTTTGGTCTCTGAATTACTACTATCTGTAGGTTCAGAAATCTGTCAGCCAGCACAAGTCCCCAGGGGACCTCCCACAACCAGGGTGCCGACTGGCGCCGAATCCAGACTTTAACCCTTAAGCACCAGCATCCCCCAGTGGTCCCCTCGATCACTGCAGTTCAGTTTTCTCTCAGCCTTCTAGGTACCCTAACTTCCATTGAAAATGTAAATTCAAGTAAGGTGCCTCAGAACTAGCCAATACTCAGGACTCTGCTGAACATAGTAAAGAACCATATATATTTGGTCGCAGTTAAAGACGAAAAATTTTAATTTATGTCCAGTCATTGCATATCTCGTATGCGTATTACAAAACATGTATCTGTAAGAGCAGAGATTTTTTTTGTAAAACACCTTTGAAAAGAGGGGAGAAATCACACCAAAAGAAAATCAGACTCTTTATTGAAAAGCCTTTTTGAAGAAAATAGGTTCAGGGTCTCTTCCAAGAAGATTAGGTTCTACAGCTATTTTTGGCTTTTTTACAAGATCATGACTCATGGAAAAGATACTATAGCAACCATCAATTTTTAATCTGCCTTTTGATTGAAGTTCACATACTTAGAAGCTACAGTCCATCATATCTAGTGAATTGGAATTCTAAACGAAAAATTCCTGGCTGACATTTTGTTCACACAATGAAAATTCAACCATGCTCTCAGAAAACATACTGAGCTTTGTTGTAATCTACCTTACGTGTAGTATTTTTTTGAAGTGCAAAATACTCAACAAGAAGTACATGCCAGACACTGTTCTTAAAACCAGCCTTTTGCAAAACAATCTGAAATTGTGTCGACTGGGATTGTTTTCCCTGCTCCCTAAAAGACCTCAATCACCGAGGAAACGTGAAGTAATGGGATACTGCAAAATGCCACTGGAAGGGATACAGAGTAGGAGGAGTGAGAAGAACAGACAAATAAATGATGCACATCTAACACAAATGCATGATGCTCGCACCTACCCAGCTCCCTCCCACTCCAGAGCAGAACAGCTACATCAGCACAAGCCCTGTGTCAGTGGTGACTCGGCGGACAGAGGGGAAGGACGCGCAAGGCTGC